TGCTCTATTGCAACCTAACTTATTGTTCTGTTGTCAAACTTGTTATATTGCTCTGCAATGTAGAAGTTTGGCATTATGTTAAGCTTTCAAAAATATCTTTGTACCAGATAAAAACATAATCTAAACAAATTAAGAATAATGGAGATATTTAAGACTGAAGAAAGAAAAACGGTGATATTTAAAAATTTGATTATGACCATCTAGTGCCAGAATTGTAAGTGATCTACCTCATTTCTAAATACTGTAGGTGTATCCATTTGGATATCAACATAATTTTCTGTTAATGAAAGAAATACAAGAAATGTCAAATTCTGTTATTCTTTAACTCCAATGGAACAAAATGTCCATGGTAAGATATCTTCCAATAATAATGTAAAATAATAAAATAAATTGTATGCCCTCTGAAGTAATATATGATTTTGATGAGAGGGACAGTACCTCACCTGACAATAGATAATGTATCTCTGTAGTGGTTGTTTGTGGTACCTACATTCAAACCACTCTGCAAACTAAGACCAAAAAGCTCTGCATTTAAACACCATAAGACAAATAATACACTACAACATACATCTCTCCAGCAAATCCTTATATTGAGTTTTTACACAGTTCAGGAAGTCTTAAGATTGGCCAGTCATTCTCTGAATTAGACGTGCATTCCTTATTTTCTCTGAAATCTTAGAAGATTAACGCAGTTCAAAGCAAACTTTAAAAGCAGCATTATATTATTAATTAAAAAGTAGTGTTCTCTTAGTGTTGTTTTCCTCTGTTCAAAACTGTAAGAGACATGTGCAAGAATCATACATAAACAGAACTACAGTAGTTCCATGCTCATCCTTTTAGGAATTAAAAAACAATGTAAGTTAGGGAATATTTTAAGATGTGTTTTAAAGGGAAAATTGAGGGTTTTCAGTGAGAACTCAATGTTACTGAATCAGTGCAAAGCAGAAATGTTACTGTGACATTATTTGTGAAAAGGGTTAATGTTGATTTGCACTCTGAGGAAAATCTAATGGATGGCATTGGTATCTACAGGTACAGGTACTTGAGCCAAGAAAAAAAATCCATAGCTGTAACTCCACAGATGCAATTGGCAGTTGACTACCCCTGCAGAATCAGAAATAGGTTGATGTTTGTTTTCAAAGAACTGTCTTTCACAGAAAATTTTAGGTCACAGCCTAATCTGTGCCTTCGGTTAAATGTAAACCGCCGTCAATAAGAAGCCAGGTAAAATCAAGAAGTCAGTGTGGACTATTTACAGCACCCTGAAGTGACTAAAGACCAGGGACTGAAAATGCCCTGAGTGGCCAAGTATGAAGGAAGATTATAGCTCCAGAGCAGAACAACATTATTACTGTTCTCTGCAGGAGTAATCACTGCCTAATAGCTAGCACTATCACAGAGCAATCTGTATTGCATCACCTGCTGTTACAGCCTGCCTTCAGCCCAGCTGCACTGCTAGACTGGACACAAGGAAGACATAATAGGATTGGTATTGTATGTTGTAGGAGAGCAAAAATAAGGAATATCAGCACGAGCAGTACATTTCAGGTGTCTGTAGGATGCTCTCTGTGTCTATATTAAACACAGCATTTAGAAAACATCTTTATGGGAGTCATGTTGCTTGGGCTGTGGCACAAGCTGCAGGTGAAGGAGATCAGCTATTATCCCCTTCCAGGACTGAACAATCCTCAAATCTCAATCCCATTTCAAACTGGTGGTAACAGTAGAGCTCAGTCCCTCACACTATCCCCTCACCATAATCTTAGCTGAAGAATGAGGTGGGTCCTGCACTGCAACTGTTTCAAACACCTCCTCACACACAGGAGACATTCTGTTGAGTCACACTTGAGGGTCACAGAAGCCATCTCTTCTGGGGTTCCTAATATTTCAGACAGTGTGTATTCACATATGGTGCACGCACATTTAAGAACCGGCACAGTGAATGCAGATATCTTAAGACAGAAGCAGGGGAGGCCTTTATCCAGGAGCAGCTTGATCAAAGTTGATGACAATAATAATGACTTATTTTGAGGAGATAGGAAGTAATTTGGTACTGACGGGATGGAAGCAATGGAGCTTTGGAAGTGTTTTAATATTGTGGCAATGCAACTACGTATACAGCCATTCATTCTTGCCCAATTTCAAGCCTATTAAAATGTTTGTGTTCATCAAGGGATGATATTTTTGGTGTCTGTACTTTGTCTAACTTTTTAGCAAGGGGTTAATATTTAGTTATTTACTATCTGCCAAATACATATTAGTGGTACAGACTGTGAGTGGGATTCAAGCCCAGTAGCCTTACATCCTTTTGTACTGATGTCCCTTTTCCTCTACTATAGCCACCTCCTGCCATCACTGTTGCTTAATGTTTCATACCTCCTTCAGGTTCCTTCTGGACGGCCCATAACCCTGCCAGCTGTACGGTCCAGTTCCCCTGCATTGCCACACTACCCCTTCCCTTTAGCCTGAAATCCATACTCATCTTTAACGCTCAGATATGTCTCCTTACAGTGAAGTCAGATTATTTTATTTTTGTATTTAGAGAGAAAGAGGCTTTGCAAATGTTCCCTGAACCATATACAGAGAAAAAAAATAAAATCCATCACAATATTCTTATTTCCTACCAGAGTCTGTACCTTTTTTCATAGGTCAGTTGGATTTGCAGTGGGCAACCGTGGAACTGGAATCGGCCAGTTCACACAGCTCTAGCATTGTGGTCACCCCACATTGTACAGTATGTACAGTTTGCAGCCTTCTCTCTAGGGTGGCTACTGAAGGGTTCAATCAGTATTCTTGAGAGCACAAGCCAACGTATGGAGATCAGTCACTCCGGTGAAGCATGATCAGTTATTCAGTGGCACGCCAATTCCCAGAAGGGGTCCGTCGGAACAGGACAAGTATTACTGGAGGTCTTCTCATCTTGAGACGCCACAGCAATTCCTCAGTCTTACAAAGCACCTGGAGACTTGCAGTGAGGTCAGCAGGATGTGCCACTCTTCCTGTCAGTGCTAACTGAACTGCCAGGTACAGTGGAGCCTGCAGCATTTTGAAAGATGTACAGAGTGGACAGGTAGAGGGCATCTTCCTTCCTTCCACCCAATACAAGCATTGCAGTGATGAACTGAACAGCTGAAGAACCAGTGCAATTCCAGGGACATCTAATTGGGTTGGGGGTGTACAACAGGCTAAATTTAATAAGAAATTTAATTTTTAGAAGCTGCCAGATGCAGTACATGTGTCCAAGAAACTGTGAAAATTCACAAATATTCAGATACAGAGTGCAGATCTGACTATCACTTAATTTGCACCATCTGACACCACAAGAAATTTATGATTCCTGTTAAAAGCAATTTGCAAATCATCTCTGGTGTTACCCCATTGCTGCTACCCTAAAACGGCCCTACAACACTGGCGGCACTCACAACTGTGAATAACTTCAGGCAAGAGCAATATCTTGCAATTGTACTTGTCCAAAAGTTAAAGGAGGACATTACAAATAACTCCTGATCTCACCATGGGATTGAAATTTTCAGGTAGGGGGCGAATATTCAAAAACAATTTACGAAGGCTGATTATTTTTAAATTCTTTCCAGCCATGTTTGAGACTGCCTCATGCAGCTCACTGATAAGCTCCTGCATGGAAATGCTTCAGCTATGATGGGTTGCTTTGTTTAAATGTAAATTCTGATGGGCAGCTTGATACAGTGAAACCCATTGACGTCAGTGTGGTAGTTGGTGCTTTTGACTAAAATCGAGCCCATTCCATTCTCATTTCTTGTACAGCATTCAAATTAAGAAACTACATTAGGAGAAGGCGGCCTTCAAACAAGGCTAAAATTCAGAACTGTAAATCTCTTAAGTATTCCAACAATATTGAAGTGAAAGTGTGCCAAGAAGTACATATAGCACAATCTGCAGGCACCAAGAGAAGAAGTCCACTTGAACTGTGAACTCAATACCAGGACACTGGATAAGGCAAGGACAACTTCAATACTGGTCTTGATTAATGACCCCACTAAGGAAGATAAGCAGCCATTAAAAACATTTTAGTAAGATAAAACAGAATTTTATGATTATCTATGAGCCATTCATTTGATTTGTAAAAAATAAATTTAAGGGTGTCCTACTGTCTACTAAGTACAAATCACTGAAAGTGATCAAACAATTGAAATGTTCTCCATCACTAGTCCAGTTTTCCTTTCCAGTTGATTGTTTTCCACTCCAACACTTTAAAAGTTAAAAGTTTAAGTTAAACATTTTAGTGGATACATCTTAGTTATGTCTCATCTATTCTGAAAGGCAAATAGCTTAACCCAAGGTCATCCCAAGGAAACTAAACAACAGCTCATTTTCTGGTTGTGGAACTTGTCACCATCAGTTCCTCTTGATGACACAAAGCTACAACAGCAAACCGGTGAGCATTACACACAGCAGGATCAAGGGTGAAGACTCCTGTGAGATAATGACAAGAATGGTGCCCATCTTTAGAACTGACATTTTTGGGTACCCATCACAAGAGAATGGGGACAGAAAAGACTTCTCTTCAGGGCTTGGGTGTGGGTGTTGGGTCACCCAAGAAGAGGTGCTCCTGAGTCAAATCAGCTTCATGTGGGAGCTGACTCACTCCCACTAGAGTTGGCCTTCTTGCTAAATGACAATGTGGGGCTCCATCACCATATAGAATCCACCCTCCTTGTGCAAAAAAACTGATGACAGCTCACTTCACTTTACCAGCTGCTCTCCAGCCAGGAAAAGAATCAGCAAGTTATTTTTTAAAAGAACACAATAAAATGAACAAGATTTCAACCGAGTTAGGAACCAAAGTGCTGTGATTAACTTCGTGTTACGACCTTACCCATTCTTACTTTACAATGTCGAACTAATTGTTCCTGTAAAATAAAAACAAGACAACTGCGCCCTCTAGTGGATACAAATAAAAAAGGATATGGTTTATGAAAAAAGCGCCCACAATATAAGAAACAATCCACGATTAAAATAAATAAAATGAAGAGATCAACGTTCTGCATTTTATTGTGTTGTTCATTGTTTCTTGCATTGGTAAACCATGTATACAAACTTTTTTTCTCTTCCAAACAAATGCATTCTTTCAGACATAAAAAACAAAAATAAAAAAATTGCATATTAAAAGTGCATACTCTTCAGTTATTAAAACACACGAATAAATTAACAAAAAATGAAAAAGGCATTAACAGTCTCATGCATTTACTCCAAAATAAGTTAAAATTTACATTTACATTTTTTATTTAACTTTTATTAGTAATATTAATGCATTTTTAAACAACCTTGTGGAAGACCTGCTTTTTCGTACTACTACTGTACAGGTTTAATGACAGTAAAATATAACCTAGAAAAAGACTACAACAAATAAGTGACCCAAATCATTTTATGTACTACTGTCTTTATTTAAAACTCAGGATTTAAAGTCCAGTGTGTTCACCCCTAAAAACTGACATAAAAAGCATTTCCTTTGAAAACGATATCAATTAGGTCTGGGTCAAATTTCTTTTAAAAAGTTTGCAAAACAAATTACCTAATCGGCAATAGTCACCTTTCGATATTAAACACCCTCCAATTTTCAAGGTTACAATTTGTACATAGGGAAAAAAGAACATTTGCAAACCCTCGTCAAGAACACATGAAAAAGCAAATAACTTCTTAAAAATGACCAGAACTGATCGGCTCTGAAGCCTACACGCAGGTGCAACGCCATCACAGCGCACCGATCGCGCAGGCTGCGAGACGGTTCCACGCGTGCTGCTCCCAGAGCTTCATTCTGAGAACAAGATCATCGCAGACACCTACCAGCTCGCCCCGGGCTCATCGGGAAGCTACTGTCTGATCTTTTCACACGTCGAGTGCAGTAAACACAGGAGCAGAGACGCAAGGGGAAGATATTACACGGATGTACAGGAAACACTGAAAACACTAATGTGGACCCGATGTGCCAAGTTTTGCGTTTCAAATATGGAGTACACTTTTGATTCTAAAATCAAGAGGATGTCGATGTCGATGTGGTGAAAGTGTTAATCATTCAGACAGCAAAGGGCTGCTCTAATGCTCCGCAGGCTGCCGGTTTTAGTGGGTAGTGGTCATGGTTTTGTACAAGAGATCAATCAGTAAAAGAAATCCCGATATGTATGCATTATTACAGGATTAAAAATGCAAGGAAAACCTCCACGATAAAAGGATTAAAAATGAGCCTATCTCTTGCAAACAAAAAAGAAATAACACTGTTTTCCCAGGAATTCTTTTTTCCTGTGCTTGCACGCAGATTAGCAATACCCCCAGACTCACGTGACAATCTTACAGCAAAGGTCTCCCTTCAAGAATGTGCAAATAAAGCATTAGACAGAAAAAAAGGCGCTATACATGCACTCCCTCACTTGGATTTTAAAAAAATACAGTAAAAATATAGTCTAGACTTCTACATTAGCAGTTTCATAATTCAGTGCAGCCAGTATTAGCAACAGACACTTGCATAGTTAAGTACTGTACATGCAACAGCAGCCTACATGCAGTTTCCCCTCCATTAATTCTCCCACGTGAATTTGTTCCGCGTTGAAGTCGGTGCAGTGCCAAGCGGACAGCTCTGCTGTTGAAATGCCAAACCCAAAACAGTGGTCTGCAAAGATTTCCTACTTCCAGGAATACAAATAACTTTCTGGAGATGTGAGCCGAAAGCAGTCTTCGTGTGTGAACGCAACTTTAAAGATGGCATTGCAGCGCGTGGAGTTTATGATGGGGATCTCTGACCAGCATGACCGGCCTGCAGCAAATCGACATGTTGTAAGCTGGCATCTTGGGTCAGGGGGGGCTTAAATTCAGCAACGCCTGTGGAACATATTAATGGTTGGCCACTGGCAACACTGAGGTTATCAACTTGTTAAACCCTGATCTGTTTTTTTTTTTTTTGTATTCCAGCATTGTTGTCGACCCAAAAACATTTCTAAGTAGATCATGGCTATGATTTGTAAAACTCACTTTGTGCAAGACTGCCAAAGGAAATCACTAAGGAACAGTGCGTGGCAGAGCAGTTAAAATGCAGTTCAAAGGGCAATACTTCACAATTGGCTGTGCTTACAATGAATGATAACAATGAATGGATACTTAAGCCTTCCAAGTGGGGTGTCACTGGCATCCAGCAAATTCAACTATCACTGCTTGCGTCCTGTCTGCTTTTCTGACTCTTTTCTGACCAGATAAACAGGAGATAAGTGGATTATTTTTTCTGCAATGAAAGGAAAGAGTACAGGTTTTGAATGCACTGACAAATTGTGCATGGTGATCAGAACAACTAAGACAAAATTAGCTTTTTTCTTAAGAACTGGGGCTCCTCCATCATCTTTCTCCCTCATTACCTGCCGCCTCGGGCAGTGGCCACCATCACTACCCTTGCCCTCTGTGGAGACGTGAGCTTTCTTGATGTCTACGGTCAAGTTGCACGGGACTCACGTGGCATGCGAGCCCCTGCCAACCTAGAAGGAGGAAAAGCATCATCCAGAGGAAAGACTCCTCTCTCTATAGCAATGCTGCAAGCTTGCAGGAGTGGGTCAAGTGCACAGGACCACCTCTTGTGCCCTGAGGGCGTTCGGCCCACCTGTATGCCACCACATGGGGAATTCCCTGCCATAGCGGGCTGATGCCACAGCAGGATGAACCGGCTTAACTGCCTAACAATTGTTTTCGCTGAAAAGACAGGCAAAGAATCCTTTGAACATTTATTAAAATATTTGATGCAGATTCATTTTAAGACAACAACATAAAAGACAAAATAAGGTCCCTCGGTTACAACTTTTATATTTTAACTGCTGTATGTTGGATCTCAGCATCTGGAATGTGTAATTTCGGACGATTTTGGACAAAGTGCTCTCTTCTGACCCTGAACTATTTAAAACTGCAAGTGAAACCAAAACAAAAAATTGCCATCTGCAGCAGAACTTGATACAGAATGTATAGGATAGTGTCTGCTTTAGAGAATAATGTCAATGCATCCACACATGAGAGTCTGGTGTTTCGCAGTTCTTCCTATACCCTGTGCATTTGAGACCTTGTTCTCATCACTTCAGTACAGTTCTGCTGGGCTCATGTGTGGCTGGAGCATGCATCCCCTAACTCTGTCCAGAGGGAGTCGTTTATCTGGCTGCAGGGTTACAGAGACACTCCCTTAGCTGCCCAGTCCCTCTTCATTAACCGATAGTTCAGTAAAGTGCTGGGAGACCTGCAATACTGTTGCCTATGAGAATACACAAGAAAGCACAAATGGAGCATTGGAACATCTAATACCAAGGCACACTTGGGAGCAGTTTATGAAAGAAGCCACATGTATAGCACTGCCAGTTGTCAGAGCAAGAGAGCTATAATGACACGCGTAGTGCTTCCAGTCTATAAAAAGTGTCTGCAAGCATTTCAGCGGAAGCACTGGTGATCTCACCTACACCCCTTGCCAAAATATTGGGAACTCCACTCCCTCTTGTAGGGGTTCTGCTAATCCTATCAGCAGGCAATGCAAATCTGTCACATGACAGAGTTGAGTAATCACTGCTAAGGATAACTAGGAAAATTGTAATCGAATGATATTAGGAGGGAAAAGACTAAATCTGTGCAAGATGACGACCCCTGTTTCAAACAAAGTATCCACCTGCATGGAACCACATGGTTAGAAAGACCAGTTGCAGGACAGGGACAAGTGACCCTTGGCTCACCAAGTGCAAAAGAACAGGCAGCCTACAGTTTAGCAACAGGAGGAGGCCAGGTGTAGTCCTTTTCCACCCATTCCAACATCAGCCCTGCATAAGGCATAGCAGTACACAGGGGTTCCCAATAATTTGGCCAGTCAGTGTAAAATCCATCTGAGAAATTGAAAGTCAGACTCTTCCAAAAAAAACCCTGTTCAACATGTTTTACGCAAAGAAGGACTGGCTTCTTGCTCTGAAAGAAGCTGGCATTACATGGAGCAAGAGGCTGCTGTGCATTTCTGCGTTACCTAGCAAAGCCACCTTGTTTATTCACAGATCAGCAGCAGGCACAGCATGCACCAGGTACATAGGAATAGAAACCTCACCCACCTGACACAGTTCACAGGAATGAACAGGAGGTGGGTCATTGCAAAACAAAATTAGGGATACAGACACATTAGGAAATAATTTTGATTAGATGAGTATCACCATTTTTTCTGTACAGATTAAAATAATTAAAATACAGAATATTACATTAAAATATGTTATCTATATCAATACTTTTAAGGCAATACTCCCAGAAGTAGTACAAAAACGTAGCAAAATAACACTTTATACTAAATGTAAGAGAACCATAGTGTCCAAAAGCTAAAACTAGTAACATTTAGAAAATGCTGAAAGCTTTAGTGTTTTATTAAACTGATGTAAGTTAAAAAATTCAGGCTCTGAATGGTTTTGCTTTGAAGTCCAAAGTTACAGTAATATACATAATACCTTATCTATACTAATGTTTTTGTGTTGTAGGATAACATTTGCTCACTGCTGTTAACACTTTACTGAAGCTAAATCTGCAAATTCCTTAAAAGGCAGATAAGACCACAGGTACAAAAATAACCAAGTGTTATCTCTGGAAAAAAGAGAGAGAAGGACATTAGTGACATTAGTAAACTGAGACTACACTCTGGAATGCAGGGTTCATAAGAACCTATATCGGCCCAAGACAAGGGCAGGTCATTTAGCCACTGTGCTCCTTGTTTTCCTACACACTAAATCAGTGGCTTCCAACCCTGGTCCAGGAGGAACATGATGTCTGCTGGTTTTCAGTCCATCTACATCTCCAAGGCTCATTGATGACTTAATTGATCTGCCTCCTGGTTTAGAGTTGTATTTAACTTTTTTCTTTGATCAGTCTTCAGGAACATCAATACCCCGGTTGAAGGGTTCTGTTTCCAACAGCTCAGCACACTGGATTTATACCTCTGCTCAACCTGCTTGCTATTATTCCTGGTTAATCAGTTAAAAAGGAACTGACACAGGTGGGAAAAACACTGTATGTGACATTCTCACTGTGGGAGTGACACCGTCAGACATGCCTACAAAGAATGTTTTTTTTTTTCCTTTTGCAGAGATCCAATGGGTTACTTTTCAGGCAACACGCCCGAATGAGGGCAGTTCAGAAATTCAGAAATCAGTATAGCATTTATACCAACCCTATCACAACTGTCATTTGATCTTCTAAGAGCTGAAAGCAATTTCATAAAAGTACCCCCAGACAAAAAAATGGAAATCAGTTACCATGTGATTAAGAACATGACTCGTGCAAAATCTTAGAAGAGACAGTGTTTCTCCAGGACCAGGATTGGGAGCCACTGCACTAAGTGGTTCTATCCTAGAACCATGCCTGGACATGAGAGCTCTCCTTGTATCTGCCCTCACCATGTGCCCTTGTATTGTATTGGTGCAAAACTGTCCCTTAACAAGTTTCAAGTTAACATCAATTGACATAATGCCCAGAAGACTAGGAGCTGCTTATAGCTTTCAAAGCAAAATCAACTTCGCAATAAAAGCACAGCAAGAATGTGATGTATTTAAAGAATATAATTTCAAACTCTACCATCCTCCTTGTTAAGCAGGCTTAAGAACATGAAATCAAGGTGCAGAACGAGAAGATTTACAAATGGAGTTGGAGAAAAAAAACTTGCAGATAAAAACACTGAGAGTCTAAATTAATCACAAAAGTAACCAACATCTAACCCAAGCTGGCATTTTAAAAGGTTTTTGTTTTGACCAAAATGGAAACTTTCAAGCACTCTTTTTGTAATTTGTGACAGACGGGAGTGTTGTGTTTTTGATTTATACATAGCTTTGTCTGCTGACGAGTGAATTTTGTAAAAAAGCATTCTCTATATAAGGAGAGGACTGCTGAAGTGAAGAGTAAAATGCAAAAGTAATAGTGGCAGTTTAAAAGCTTTACAATAACAATTAATCAGCATAGAGTAATTCCAATACAGAATCCTCTTGCATAACTTCAACATTTTATGAAGTAGTATGAAAACAAAAAAAAATAAATGTAAAAAAAAACAAAATAAAAGCTCTATTTAGATTTACATACTGAGCTGCACATTTGGTCACTTAAACAAATAGGTGGCATAAATAACAATGACAATTGACCTACTTGCTCCTTTTAAATGTAATATCACAGTGCAAATGAGTGGCTCTCCATCTGAAGTTCATTTTGAACAGTTTGTGCACTATCCCGTGTCATTTTTTTTTTTTTTGGGGGGGGGGTTCTGGAGAAAATGAGCTATTTTCAGTTTTCAGGGAGGACTGTTTTTAGTTGGGATGAAATAACATTTGAGACCCATGTTAGTCATTAGCTGAACCTCTAACTAATGTGTCATCTTTAAAAAACACAGCTGTAAGATATTGCCCTTTAAACTGCACCTATCAGAAAGTAAAAGTGACTTCTCAGTAAGTTAGATTGCACTGTAAAATGTACTGTACAAATGTGACACCTTCATACAAACATATTTCCCTCGCCTACTAATGTTAGAAACTGGCCCCAAAACTTACCTCATCCAAGCATGCTACTGTAACAGGAGTTTAAAAATGACTTTGTAATCAAATATATCATTCAGTACATTATATAGCATTCTCTTGCAAAAAAACAACTAAATTCAATATATACAAAGTGCTCTGTTAAGACACAATCCTATACAACAATTCAGTTTTGTGTACAGTAGTAGACTTTTGTACCACACTTTGCCATTAAAATAATGGCAAATATTTGGTTCGATGGCAGGGTAAAAGGCGCTTAATTTACAGTAAGTTTTCTTTAAGAAAAGGAAAATATATGTAATATATTAGGCACATCAAAAAAAAAAGGTAGCTGCATTACAAGAAACTAAAACTGCTAGGTCAAATATCATTGAGGCTTCTGTGTGGAACGTGCAGACTTTTGCATGCTGGAAGAAAGCTTTCTGGAGGAGGATGTCTTTTCAAGTGGCTTTTTCCCATTTGCAGGAGATTGAGCACCTATATCGGATGTGGAAGACTTAGATTTGCCTGTGGATAATATTGAGCGTTTGACTGGGGTGGAGGTCTTAGAAGACTCCTTGTCTTTCACAGCAGTCTTGCTGGTTTTAGGCTCAGGAGACACTTGCCGAAGAGGCTTACCTGTCCCCTCGGTTGGCCCCGTGTCACTGCCTTTATTCCCGCTACCCGACCTCAAAGTTCCCTCAGAGGCCTTCTTGGCCAGCATCGTGGTCTTCCCAAAATCAGCTGACCTGCGCGTCTCCTTTTGCCGCAGCGCCGACTTGAAGAAGGACAGCCCCTTGTCTTCGGACTTGCTGTTTCGCCTGAGGTCCATCTTTGAAGACACACTGGGAGATCTCAGGCTGGTCACGGAGGAGCTACTGCTGGAGCTCCTCACCGTCCGTCCCTCCACTCGGCCTCCCTCGCTTGTTTTGGGCAGAGGTGACCTGGCAGGGGTGCCGGTTCTGGAGGGGGCAGATCCAGCGGGCTTGTCCGTGAGTGGGCTGGTCCGAGTGGACTCCCTGCTCACGCTCTTCTCGGCCAGCTTGCTCTTCCCGCTGGACGAGCTCCTCTCTATCCCTGTGGAGGTCTTCCTCCCGGTTGGAGAGGGAGAGGTAGAGGACTGTGGTGTGGAGGATATCCTTTGCTTCTGTTGAGCCGCTCCTGAAAGAGTCCCCTCCTGAGCTTGAGATGGTTCCTTCTTGGGCTGCGTTGTGGATGAGGACATTTTGCTGCTTCCAGGCTTGGTAGAGCTGACCTTCTCCTTTGAGCTGGACGCCTTTGAGGAGCTCTTAACCTGAGGGCTAGAGGTAACCTGAGAGGCAGGAGGCTCGTGAGCAGACGAGATGGTTTGCCTTTTCTTGGAGCTCTTCTCCGGCTCCAAGACTGCCTTTGTGGAGCTCCTCTTTGTCGCCATGCTCTCGAGCTTCTGCGCCGACGCTCCAGAGCCACTCCTGTTCTTAACGTCCTTCGTCGAAGAGCTGCAGCCAAAGCCGCCCTGGTCAGCAGAGGAGATCTGGTTGTTATTGTCGGTGGACTCAGCTTTAGAGCTCCTCTTTTCCGTCTGGCCTGGGATTTTGCAGTACGGCTCCTCCAGACTCACCACGGACCTCTTGTGACCGTTTTCATCACTTGTTACGCCCTCCATTACCGCCAGGGGAGCTTTTCCGCTTGGCTTGTGTTCGTGTTTGCTGTAGCTTCCAAAACAGGACGTCGATACTTTGTCATCGGACGCCTCACCTATCCTTTCTAAAGTAGGAGAGGAGTGTGAATCTAAGGAGAAATGCGAGGGAGAATTGGATCTTCTCTGCAGTTTAGCCGAGAGGGACCAGGAGGGCTTTATCCCATTTTCGATCACAGCCAGGGGGCTGGCAATGGATGATCTGGAAGATAAACTCTGCCGTTGGACACTTCTTACAAAGGGCCGAGTTGAGAATCCTCCTTAACAAAAAAAGAGAAACATTAAACTAATGCACTGACACAGGGTAGAATGGGTTACCCGCTTTACCAATTAGATAAAGTTTCGAGTCATTCACTGCATTCATTCACAGAGTGGTATTAATGCAGTAAGGGGTCCTCTTATTCTTATCCAGCAATAAGTATCCAGTTTAGTTTACTAATCATGCATTTTAAAATAAAACACGTGTTTTCACTAAATAATACTTTTAAAGACAAGTTGGCAGCACGTGTATCTCACCCAGGTCCTGGTCTGGAAGCAAGCAAAAAAGTCCGTACTTGGATGTCCACATGACAGTACATGAAGCAGTTCTGCTCTAAAAGGATATTTAATAAGCTTCTGATGAATTAAAGCATTCAAAAACACACTGGTGCGCAGTCCTTTCAATTTTACTTGATAATTATGAATACCACTTATGCTCTGAGAGTTTTTGAGATTTTTTCTCAAGAAATATCACCTTCAGTATTTCCCCAAACTCAGTCTGAAACCAAAGCTATACTGCTGATTGTGTGCCTGTGTATCTTTCTCATCCCACGCATCAGGCACCAACACCCATTGGTTCAGGCAGAACTACTGAGCCTGAAAGCACAACAGAACAGAGCTTCTGCTTTCTGCTTCACAGATGGGCTTCTGTGTGACAAGAGTTTTCCCCTCTCTTGGTCAAAATGGCGAAAAGATCACAGAGGTCCTTCCTGTGACAACAAACACAGCACAGTGCACCCTCTTACCGAGAATGACCAAGTGAGGATTTTGTTAGGTTCCATGGGGTTTTCATTTGAACAAAATATTTGTCATGATCTAACCTTTCAGAATTGGGGAGTATTACTGCAATAACACTCACACTAAATAGAAATCAGGTCAATGCTGGATGTATATAGAAAATAACAGCACTGTATTTACATTAACAGTGAAAACATAGTTTCTAATATTTGTTAGGAGATGTCAGGCCATAGACACCACACTACACAAATATTCTGTCTCTAACCTTCAGATCTTAAGATGTTAATACACTGCAAAGATCAAATAAAGATATTGCACAAGGAGTTAGTCAGCTTGATATGTCAGACGTTGTGCAGCATGAACCTAGATTATGAATTAAAATGACCAAGAATATTACAAGCATCTGTCTGAAAAACAATTTTTAAATGAAGAGATGAAGTCATGGGCCGCAGTTAAGGGCGCATTTCAAACCACTGAAAAGACACACAATGCTGGGATAAATAACATGCTTGTAAAAACCTCACCATCATCTTCGCTGCGGTCCCCAGTGAACTCCACCGACTCGGACAGAGACGCAAGGGACGTGCGCCTTGAGGACGCAGCCGAGGCCACGCTGGGCTGCTTGCTGCCTGAAAGCCTATTGACCCAGTGCTCGCACAGAGAAGAGCTGGTGGAGCCTGCAGGGGGCGACACAGAACACACTCAGACAAGGAGGGCTGCTTTGGTAAAACAAGACACTGCAGTCGCTCTGTATGAGGAGAGGAGAGGCAAGAGAAAGAGGGCGAATGGGACCCTGATCATCAGCCAAGTAACAATTAGAGGGAAGGAAAAGTCCAGAGCGCTCAAAACTAAATCCAGTTCTAAGGAGGATGGACTGAAAAGATCTACATCTTTTAAGTCTCAGCAAAAGAGACAGATTTGACGAAGGTTTTCAATTTTTTTTAAAACGTAAAGATTAACAACAGTAATTATTCCACATTAAGTTACAAAAAAGAAAACGGGCATAACTCGTTAAAAGAAGTTACATTTTGTATCTTCTCTGACATAGAGAATCATCAGAGCTTGGAAAGGGTTATCAGGGCACAACGGGGAAGCAGAATTGCTAAGATCTTTAAAAAAAAATACTATAGAAATACTTGGTTGCAGATTGACATTTACACTGGAATTAACATTTCTTCCATTCTCCCATTCATTTTGTAGAGTACATTAACCTTCAAAAGAAAGCGTAAATGTGCATGCAATTGGCCATTTTCTTTTTAGTTAAGTATTACTGTAGATTACAGCCAACCAATTTCTGCTACATCTACGACAATATACAGCTAGGAAAGTTGCCGAGCAAGGGGCTGTACGCTTCAGGTGCTACCTGCCAAAAGTGCAGACAGCTAACATGACACTCCCAGCATTTGGTTCACAGCATCTTATTATTGCTCATGCTGTTGGTGCAACAACTGTGATTGTTTTCAAGCCTCTTGATGACTGCCTAGGGAAATTAATCCGCTTAGTATCTCCCTGAACTCCACAACATGGCATCACATTGGTCCTGGATAACAACCGAGACTTTGCAACTTTACAAATCCAAATATGAGCTACATTTCCTTTCCTCAATCCAGTGCAGAGAATTGGGAAGTGTCATTTATTTGCAGTATATCATTCAGATGATCTAATGCCACACACAGAAGAGCAATCTGCTTGTAGAGTACACTAGCCTTCACATGAAAGCATAAATATGCATGCACTTGGCCATTTTCTTTTTAAACAGATATTACTGGAGGTTATAGCACTCCAATACTTAATCCAAAATCAACGAGGTGCTGTACACAGCAAGAGAACTGTTGCCCACTGTTACCAAAAACGTTAGCAAAGAGGAGGGTTACATAATACGACACAACCAGCTACTTAAGACACAGTTGTACCTACCAGCAACTGAGCTATTAGCAGACCAAGATGGAATTGTGGTCCTCCTCTGATAAAACAGAATGTAAGCTGTCTGTTTGCAGACTTCGTCTTCAGATATGGGCTGAACATCGCTGTCATCAAAACAGTACCACTGTCCATCTACTGAATTCTTACAATAGGCTGCAAAAAACAAAAAGTCTTAGTCTCAAACAGAATATCAGACTCACACTGAAAATAGTAATGAATTACATATTTCTTGTAAATAACTGCAACACAGAGAGGGGTATCTGTCTCACTTCCTACTGCTTCTGAGAAAAACCGCGGGTTCTAGCCTTGGCAGGACAAAACATCAGTCACTTAGAATATAATGAAATAATGCCGAAAAAGAAAGTGAAATAATAAATGGATCAGGTACATTTTTGTTCTAAAAAAGCAAACAAATTACATTATTAAAAGGTCGTTCTTAAGCTCTATGTTTCAGAGCATTGTCTTGCTGTAAAAAAAAAAACTGTATTCATGATTATTCAAATACTGTCTAGCGACCATGAATTTAAATGCTTTAAAATCACAATTTTGCAGTACAATGTTACACACAAGGGTGTAGCACAATCTTTCCCACAGAGACATGAAATATATTGAAACCACAGCACAGTTAAGGACTTCTGTCAGCAAAACTGCAAATAAAAGCAGCAAAATGCTGTAGCTTATACTACTTAATTATTTAATTCAAAACAAACAAAATATTACTAAAATCTTATTATAAAGAATTTGTACTCTAGCCCAGTTTATGTTTTTACATACAGTAGCTGATTTTTCAAGTAATGCATTTCCGAAACGAATTTGTGAAACATATGTCCTTTTAACACACAATTCTGCACAGAATGCAGAATGTTTTGTACCCGTGCAGGGAACCCCGAGATGCTCCGTACCTGCGCAAGGGAACCCCGAGACGCCCCGTACCCGCGCATGGGAGGGAACCCCATGACGCTCCGTACCTGTGTAGTGGCCCCCATGCATGGTTCCATGGTGATTGCACACAGCATACAGGTCATACAGGTAGTCTTCAGGATCCCTCCCAAGTCCATATGGCCGACGCCAAGGAGACCAGTGGGAAGGCAAACTCCAGCTGCTCTGACTCCTCTTCACCACATGGGGCGTCATGTCCAAACCCATCAGGGGAAACTTCACCATGTTCTGCATCTTCATCCGCCTGTCACCTTCCTGTGCATGGACACAGCAGCAGTGAACCTGATTCATGCCTCCAGTAATGTAGCAGCCTCAGTCCTGCTTGCAGTTAACCAACAGCAGTACGCAGGCACAGCGCAGTATATTCATCCATCTTTTTAAAGTCATCCTTCCAGCAAATTCATAAACCTGTTTTTAAGCTAATGTAAAATATTATGTATGTTTAACACGTTACCACTTCAAAAGCCTTTAATTAAAGCATGTAGTATTCAAGGTTGCTGACGTGACAAAACAGTAAAGCAAGCAGTAAATACACTCCAGCCAAAATATTAGGAACCCCCACCTAATATCGTGTTGACAGTCTGCAAGCAGAAAAAATGTCTGGAAAGGAACACAGAATGTGTTTCACAGGGTTTTCAATTCATGCATTCACCAAGCGCCTTTAGCTAAAGATGCAGTAAGGAAATAATAAAGGGGACTGAACTATACAATCCATCAGCCTGCTACAGGATTGAGACCTGAGAGCTTTCCACAGTGGAAGTCTATCATAGCCTCCTGCCACAGACAGTCTATTCCTTTTGCAAGGTGGTCCTAACAATACTGGGTGGTGAATGTAAAAACATTTTCTCTTGTATTACCTGTCTGAACCTCTTCAGGTGTATGATGAGGACGTCGGGGAGGGTCCAGAGAGACAGCTTGATGCTGCCTTGCTGAAGCTGTTTACAGTGAGGGCACCGCCAGGCGTCATCAGGAGCTAGCTGCAGTGCACCCGGAAAAGATCCAACAACTAATTTAGTCCTACAGTATGCGTTAATAAATTATTAATACAGTAAGCAACTTTCTTTGCTTCTTGACTGTTTTAACACCGAGGTCATGTCATTGGATTCCTTCCATCAGTTATGGAAAACTAATGCTGTAACCTTGTCAGTTCATTAAACAATGACTAATTTTTCATCTTCATGTCCAGAACATTTAAAATATACATTTATTACAATTACTGTACTACAAATATACAATAACAATCCAACTGAATAACTGAAACAAACCTGAATGTAGATAAACAGAAATATAAAGTAATAAATTAAGCATCTATTAAATTCATGAAACATCTTAAACAGGCTGCTGCTGTGGGTGGGTGACCAGTAGGTGGTGCTCATCACCCCAGTATTTACAAACCATTGCTTAATTACAGAGACCAGAGACCAGAGACACTTTGATGCAGGAGACTCTCATGAGACATGAAAATTGGAGTGCTGATTACTTTGCCGTTGAAAGTCCCAAGCCACCAAGTGACAAGGCACCAAGTAACAGCAGGGGTATAATCCTGGAGCTCTGCTTAAATTTCACTCTTAGCCTCAGTGCCTACAGAAATACATGAAGTGGGTCCACTTTTACAGAAATGCTTTTAAGACATAATTAATATCTAGGGCTACGAATCAGTTCCGAGTTCAAATCTAAGTGCTCATGATAAAGCATTCCAAAGCGTTAATGTCAGTGCTGCAGCAAATGAAATTCAGCCCATTGTTTTTTTAGTCACACAGCGAGCACTGCTCATTGCAGAAAGTCACCACCCCACAAGGATGAGAACCCCCTGCAGACACCTCTTGTTAGAAAGAATTCCATACAGAAAATCAAACCAGCAAGTGTCTGGGAAGTGGGCAGAAACCCACACGAGCACAGGGCCAATATCCCAATATCAGACTCGAACCCAGGGCCTTGGGAGCTGTGAGGGAAGTATGCCAACCAGCATGCCATCATGCTAAACTGTACACGTGACCCGTCCCAAAAAAGGTTGCAACATAATCTGAGAAATGGGCATGATGAACAAGATGTTC